ATCTACAAAGCAGAAGGCAAATGATCCCTACGTATTATTTTCTTCTTTAAAATCTCATTATTTCTATGGGAGACTGGACTCGTGACTTTTTAACCCTTGGGGCTGGGAATAAATGGTGAGATATGAGATGTGTAATAAGCCCAGAGTCCATGGTGTGTTGCAGTCCATGCCAGTGTCCTCAGCTGATCTCAGCCGTGTACCTCTGTGTCCTGTAACCTAATGCTCCTACTCACCACTCTCCCTTGGCACAGCCACTCTGAGATGTCTCTAGCAAATGCTGCCTTACTCCTCGTGCAAGGGAAAGATCCCTGGGACCTACAGGGTGCCTGTGGGATGTAGGTGGCAAGGACAGAGTATGGAATTTAAGAGCCAACAGCTCTGCTGCTGGGTTTCGTGGGGGAACATTTGTTGCAAAGGCTTGGATAGGGTTTGCAGTCTAAGGGTGTGTTGGAGAGAAAGCCTGAGGGTCTCTGTTTTGTGCCTTGGCTGCCTGCAGCCAAACTGCTTGCCTAGCCCTGGTGCCATCAAAGCAGAGAAAGTGTCACACTCTGCCTTTGCCTCTCCATCAACCTGAAAAAGAGCCCTAGGTGGGAATTTCAGATGATGGCTATTTCAGTGGCCTGAGATGAAACTCACCAAGACTGCCCAAGGCTGGAAAATGGAAGGAGAAGTCCCAAGGACCAGTGTGGTCTCTCCTTCACAGAATCAGCCCAGCTCTGTCAGTCATGTTTTGCTGGGAATCTGGTGTGTTTTTACCAGAGTAATGTTGCTAGGGTTGTGTGCTTGGCTCTTTCATATTTTCAAATGATAGATTTTTGGCTTTCAAGGGAAAGCTGTACCAATTATTTGTTTATTGTTGTAATGGGATGCCTAGTATTTGGAGTCTTGTGTTTGTGTTAGTCATCAAAGGAATAGCAACCTGATTTCAGGACTGCCAGAGTCTGAGAGATTTTTCTTAAGAGTCATAAATTTTAGCTTGTCTATGCGTGTTACCCATAAATTTGCTGAGGACTTTGTCCTCCAGTTACCAGAGTGGAGCAGACTGGATGAAATAAAGAGGATGGAGGGCTGGACTGTACTGAAGGGTGCTTTGGAGGTACTTTAAGAAGAAGAGCTAGGTTGTGTGAGGTACCATAAACAGAAGTTGAAGAGCGAGCCTATTCCCCAAGCATCTGACTCTCAGGATATGAAAATATGTCACAGGAAGATGAAAGGATTAAAATGGACTCTGGACTGCAGGACAGAGCCACAGTGAAGAGAGGCTGCTTCACAGGGGTGTGTGGTCAGGACGGGCTGAAACCCTAAAGCATATCTGAAGGGCTGATAGGATTTCTGTACCACTAACTTTTCTAATGCCAAAGTCCTTCTGGATCAGTAGGTTTCAGCACAGTGCTCTGGGCTTGCAGGCACGTGCAGGCTGCTTCTTGGGGAGCCTCAGCTGGCAGCTAAGGATGTGTCTGTGTGCATGTTTTCCTGTGTTCAAGCATCCTCTTTTGAGGTGAGTCTTCTGGTTGCCCTCACGCACTGTGTAGTGGTCTCCAACTCCAAGGGAAAAAATCCAGGTAACTATCTTGAGAGTACTAAGAAGCACTATCTCAAAGTAATATCCAAAATACTATATAAAAGTACTTAAAAACTAAGGTATATCATTATCTAAAACTCTCCCAAGTAACTAGCAGTAGGATGAGAGGAAATGGGGTTAACATGCAGCAGGGGAGGTTTAGACTGGATAGTGTGAAGAATTTCTTTACTGACAGAGTTGTGAGGCACTGGAACAGGCTGCCCAGGGAGGTGACAGCATCACCATCCCTGGAGGGGTTCAAGAAACGTGTGGATGTGGTACTTCAGGACAGGGTTTAGTGGTCCAGGCAGTGCTGGGTAGATGGTTGGACTTGGGGATCCTGGAGGTCTTTTCCAACCTCAATGATTCTGTGGTTCTATGATAAAGCTGAAAGTCACTATGTTGGGTTGGTTCTGGAAGATTTGTGGATTTGTTTAAGGACTGCACAGCTCTTGTGTTGAACAAGGGTGATTTAAGGAGTAGAGCCTTCTTCCTGGGAGTGGCTCACAGGCACGAGTTTTATGTGCGGTTATTAATTTTGAGGAATTAGAGCCTGAAAAAAAGTCAGTGTGGCACAGCTCCACGATGTTCCTATTTTTAATTGGATTTTGAAGCTCGTAATTAATTTGTTAAAAAGGGGGAGATCCTGGCTGTGTAGAAGTGAGTGGGAGTTCTGCCATTGCCTTCAGCAGAGGAGGATTTCACCTTCTATCCTTTTATTCCTGCTAATCCTCTGCAACAACAGAAGAGCAGCCTGGCACACAGAAAGGATCCTTCCCACTTCTTCTCCCTGTCATTGCCAGTAGTGAGGTGGGAGGACCTTCCCCCCTTCTCTCTTCCCGTGCTCCTTACATGTGTGCCCCTCGGAAGGAGAGGCTTTCATTTCATCTGTGGGTGAGGTGAAGCAGCCATTAAAGCAGCAGTTTGTTCTTAGTCTGTGCTTGCAGAGATACTGAGGGCTCTCCCCTCCCGCCCTCTCCTGTTGCGGAGTAGCTGCAGGAGGGCAGGAAATTGAACCTCTCTGAGGTCTCTGGGTCAAGGAGCCATCTGACATGTCTTTAAAGGTCAGCGTGCTCCTTTGCATCTGCCTGGTGCTGCGCAGAGCCCCGTGCCAGCCTGCTGGCTGGAGCACAGAGAGGGACTGGCTGACATTTTGTGGAAGGGGGCTTGGGTTACAGGGGAGAAGCATCTGAAAACTAAGCTCAGCTCAGGGCTGTGCAGGGCCAGACCAGGAACACTTGAGAGAGGAGCCCCTGCAGCAAGTAGCAGAGAGATATGTGGCATCCCGTGGGTTTACCAGCAGTCGTGCTTGGCATTTCTGTCTCTCAGAACCTATATATAGCACTGTACATTTTCAAAGCTTTTGACAAATGTTAACAAGCCAAACTCGGCTTCAGTCCTAATAGCCCTCGTTCCACAAAAAGCCCAGGATGGGCTTCCTTCACCCTGCTGCTCTGTAGGTGACAGCATCCTTCAGACGGGCTGTACCTGCCAGACTGGGCTGAGCAGTTGTGCTCTGCCTTTGCTCCGCAGCGTGTGCAGCAGACGGGCGCTGCAGGCAGCCTGCCTGCCTTGCTCTCTCCGCTCTGAGGTGGGCACTAGAGAGCGTCAGAGAACCGAGGGAAGCCGAGTTATCACCCAGGCTCGTTTGCTGACAGCTTTTAAAAATCAATGCATGGACTGTTCCGACAAAACCAGTGTGCTGTCAGACGTGACCAGGGCTGGGGAAATCCCTTCTCCCGGGGAGGGGAGAGCAGATGCAGGATGCCAGGTAGGATGTCAAGGGCTGGAGTGGGAGAGTGCTGCCACTGCAGCTCCAGTGTCTGGGGCCAGCACTGGTGACACTGTTTGAATTACAGTGGAGTAATCAGCCCAGGAACAAGACACCAGCACTTGGCTCACTAACAAGAACTTTCTTGCCTCCTCCTCCCCCCCAAAGAAATCCTATTAAAAGAAAAAAAGAACAAAAGTGAGGGCGAGTCTGCAGGATGACCAGGCAGGCTCAGTCTAAGTGGGGTGGTGTTATTGTTGGCTCAGCCCATTGTCCTGTTGGGCATTTTCCCATGGTGGACTGTGGCACACAACAGAGACATGCAGGCTGGCCTTTCTGTGGTCAGAGACAGGGAACAAATGGATGTTTTGGTGAAGTCTTGCCAGCTGCTGCCCCCTCTTCATTTCTTCACCACAGTGAATCCTTTAATTGAGCTCCTGAGCCAAAGAGACTTCTCAGAGGCAAGTGAAATGGTTCAACTCCAGTTACCATCTCAGCCCACTCTGCTGTTCTCTCTGGGGTGGATGACCACTGTGCAGCAGCAGAGCTGCCTGTGCAATAAGAAGTCTGCAGAAACTCACTTTTCAGAGAACAGCTTTTTTTTTCTTTTTCTTTTTTTTTTTCCCCTCCCAATGTATTTTAATGCAAATCTCTTGCCCTTTTCACTTTTCTTGCTCTTTTGGCTTCTCCAGTTTCTCACCTTGAAATACGTGGATCTCCCATAATCAGATCTCACTCCTTTACTTGCTGAATAGACATACTAAATATAGAAAGCTGTGTCTCTGCACTGAGAAATTTGTCTGCTGTGGCCAAGTGATTGTTTCCCATGATGGGCATGGAGAGGTTGTACAGACTACAACTCCAGTTTGGTCACTGGTGGGTTTTTTAAGATCACCTTAGCAATTTTAAGAATAAATAAGTAAAAATCCCTTCTCTGTTTACAATTCCCAGTTTAGAAGCGTGGTGGTGAAAGTGTTTCCTTGTCTGCATTTTATCTCAGCTCCCTCCTCTTCGAATGCATCCATATGGTGCTGACTGCATTGGGAATGGTGATGTGGAGTTTATGTAGGAGGAGATGCACTGGAGCCTTTGTTCTGGGGGGAGATGATAAATTTGCATGCACGTGAATACATGTGCACAGGATAAGAAAAGGGGAGGCACGAGAGCTTGGAATTCTTCATGAGATGGTGTTAACAACTCCACAGATGCTACACCATGGCAGCCTTTGATCCACAGAAACTGGTTCCCATTGGAGGCTAGGTACACAGGAACCCAGCAGACTGCAGTGGTGGTGGTCACTCTGGAGCAGTGCAGTGTGCTCACGGGTGCCACAGGAACTCATCTGGCCAGGGCAGAGTGTGCTGGAAAGCTGACTGAAAAGCCACGCAGCAGGACAGGCATTTTGGGGATGTTCTGATGCTTTCTTTGAAGAGTAACTGCTGTTTTTTTTAGAAATGGGAAATAAGGTTGTGTGAGAATTTTAGCAGTGGTAACATTTGGACTGGACCAACCCTCGGTACAATGCGTCGTAGCCCCTAATTTGTTTCCATCCCACACAGGCCATGAGCTGTGTGTTGGGCAGAGGCAGGGTGGGAGGTGACAGGGCTTGCAAGCTGAATGCTCAGTGATTCTGCTGCCACGCTGACTGTTCTCTCCTCCCCTCTGCAGGTGAGAAGCCTTACAAGTGCTCGTGGGAAGGGTGCGAGTGGCGTTTTGCACGGAGCGACGAGCTCACGAGGCATTACAGAAAGCACACGGGGGCAAAGCCCTTTAAATGCAACCATTGTGACAGGTAATGCGGCCTCCTCACGGCGTGCGAGCATCACGCGGGCTTTGGGAGCAGCCTGCAGCCACCAGCTCCCAGACAAGAGACCTGCTTCCCAGCAGAGGGGCCTCTTCTGGCCTCCTGTGCCAGGCCTTGATCCCTGAGCCAAGGAGGGACCCTCCGTTCTGCCCCTGTCCTCCCTGCCTCCGTGGCTGGGCAGCCTGGCAGAGGGGGAGTATTTGCTCACAGCCTGAGCTGTTCCCACACCACTGCACAGAGGAAGACACAGGACCTGGTGTGGGTCTGACTGTGTCTGTTGTGGGCACAGGATTCAGTCCATAGGGCAGCTCTTGTTAATACTCTTAAAGCAGAGGAGACATCCAGAGGGCCCTTGAGTGATGGACCTCTCAACAAAGCATCTCCACAGCTTTCCATCTGCTGGTGCCCTCACAAAGCCAGAGCTCCCCCCCTGTTTGCTCTGCTTCAAGGACTACCCCAAGCAGCACTGCTGGCTGCCCACATTTTGGCAGGGTGGGCCTCACAAAACTGATTGGCCTCACAGACCCAGGGGTGTACGACAGGGGATCTGTGGCTGTTGTGCCACAAGTGCCCCAAATCTATAGGAAGCCCCCAGGGAAAAAAAAGCACTTAATTTCTGTATGGTCATGGCCTTCTCTTACTGCTCAGCTCAGGGCTCCACACTTCCCCAGATGTAAGAAGGGAAGAGTCAGTACAAGACAGCAAAGGGCATCATTTTCAACAGCACAAGAGTGATTTAGGCACATCTTACAGTTCACATTCATGGGGTTGTTTTGTGTAGGGCCAGCAATCTCTGCACATTCTTGCTAATTAGTGAATCTTTTCCTACAGTTTTAAATCTCACCCTTGACATCTCTTTGATGTGGGAAATCCTCTGCACCTTCATTCTGTGTGGGCCCAGAGCCAGGGTTCCCAAAGAGCCTGTTATGCAGCAGTTCTCCTCTGGGCACTCAGAAATGAGGGACCAGTCTTGCCTGGTGAGCTGAGCACTCAGCATCTCCTCCTGAGAGCCGTGGTTGCTGCCACTCACTGCTGATGCCTTTCTGCAGTTAAGCTTTAGCTGCTTGAATGAGTGATGAGCTTGGCTCAAAAACAAAATAATGGTCATCCTTGCTTGGTGCTGAGCATTTTTGAAAGCCAGGTTCTTTGAATTTAGAAACAAAACCAAAAGAAAACCCTCCTCCCCATCCCCAATCCCAATTGATAAGAAATTAGGGTGGAGCAAAAGCAATTACCCCTGTAATGACTCTTGACAGCACTGACAGGATGGAACAATGAGCACTTCTCCCCCTCACACCCCCCAGCTGGAGACAGGCAGTGCCCTGGGTGAAACCTGGATCCAGGATTGAGTAATCAAATCATCTGCTTGCATCTGAACATGTTATCCAGCTAATCCTATTTATATATATTTTTAAAAGAGGCTTAAGAAAATTACCCATCTTTTTAATGCAGCACTAAGGTTCTCTGCTCCGATAAGGAGACATTTTGTAATATAATAAAGGCTCTAGGAAGCCTCTGGGTACACCAGACCAGCAGAGAACATGCATGAAGAGAGGATGTGTGGGACATAAACAAGGGACCCCATCCTTTTATGGGAAGGAAATTCGATGATTTTCACATCCTGCCTTTCCAAGAGCTTCATCTCCTTAAGTGCTCTTCTGCCCTTGTCTCCCCTCTTCCTGTCCCCCTTCCCCCACTGAGGGTTTCCTCTTGGACTGCCTTTTGTTTCATCCCTGGATTATGTTTTGTTTGCTTAGAATGGGGGACAGGATAAGCCAAGTAGGGACCTCTGGAGTCCTGCTTTTGTATAAGCACCTCTGTGAAGGAGAAGTTATGTTCTCTGTTTAAATGTAAGGCGTTTTCTTTCCTCTGAAGAACAAATTAACCATCCTGGCCCTACAAACACACACGTGCACACACACACACACACACAAAAAGCCCCAGGGTTTCTGTGTCAGGACAGACCATATTTTTAGCAGAGACGTAAAGAAATATCATTAGTATTTTTAGCTCCTCAGTCTCTTTCAGTCCTTTGTTAAGTATTCATTCTTCTTCCTCTAGATGTTATCCTTTCCTACCTAGGTTTTTTCTTTGGCAGCCAGCTCAGTCACTGCAGTCAAGATATAGTCCTGCAATTATCTAATGCATTTTCTGCACTTCAGCTGAATCTGTAGATGAAGGGAAGATCTTTATTAACAACTAAATTGTGCTGGGGATTTTGCAGTGTTAGACACCTTGCACATCTGTGTGTGGTGGTAGGAGACAAATTTGTCTTTCCTCTGCCAGTCAGTTGTTGCAGGCTCATAGAGTCCCTGTTCTTTTGTCTCACTCTGCCATGCCACTATTTTTCCTCTTTTCCCACTCACAGATCTAGTAGCACCTATTGCAGATGTCACCTGAGCACACATTGAAACGTGAGCCTAAATCCGTCCTTAGCTCTTTAGGCAGACTTTTAATGTTAAAGACACTCTTAGAGCCAGGGTTCCCAGCTGGAGAACATCTCTGTATGGGAACTGCTACCATTTATTGCACCCACCATTACTGACAGGAGTTGTGGTCACTCCCTCTGACATTCTGGCTTGCTAAACTTGAAGGAGCTCTTTTAACAACACTGATGTAGCTCAAAACATATGCCCGTGGTTGTTGAGAGGGAAGGCCATACTTTGGCAACCAGAGCATGAAAGTGATGATTCAAATAGCAAAGAAGCAAATGTTGTGCACACAGTCTGGCTGCAGATCCCTTCCCAGGCTGTTTTCAGATGGGTTTGTGTCTCTGACCTCCTGGCCAACATCAAAGCAGTATTAATGTCCTCTGTGTACACGTCAATTTTAAAACAAGAGATAAGGAGATGGGATCCTTTCCTGCTAACCAGCACCATGCAGCCCACAGAGCACATTGTTAGTTCTAGCTGGCAAACTATCACTGGTTTGAGTAGCACCATATGTACTGCAAACAGTGTGTGGTTTGGTGGTGGCAGGAGAGAAAGGACAATCAGCTGAAGTGGTGCAGGAAGCAGTGTACAAGCCCTTGGTGCCTTCCAGACACCAGGGGTATGCTGGTTATTAGCATTCCCTAGGAATTTTGCTCCTAAGAAACACAGGTTATGTTCCTCACACAGTGCAAGCCCTCAGCACTCCAGGGGGAGGATGGTGACAGGGTAGTGCATAAATATGTGTTTAGGGGATGGCAGCTCTGTGCCAGACTGCTGGGGTGTATGCTGCTCTGTGTGTGTGTGGGCACACACACACACACGTGGTTTCCTTTTTGACAGCAAGGTAAGAGCATGCTTAGCTAGAATGAATACATCCCAGAGTGGAGAATCCACAGCTGGTAAGAAAGATGGCTGAGCCATGTATTCTCCTCTCAGGAGTTACCTTCCTTCTTTCTCCTGCAGAGGCTTCAGTGCCAAGCAGTGCTGTGTTGCTAAGGAGATAGAGCAAAAAGAGGAAGGAAGGAAGCATGTTTGAGACCAGGGAATACATATCATGCATCACAGGATGACTTTCTGAATTAGGGCATCTTGTAGCATGAACTGTCCTTTCTAGGAAGGACTAGACTGGGGAAGGATGATGGGGAAGACTGGGGAAGATGTGCTGAGCTGGTCTGGAACTGGAAGAGGTGTAGAGCCAGAAGTGTGGAGCAAGGTCTTGCCTTGTGGGCAGGACTAGAGACCAACAAGCTGCTGTTTCCCAGTTTGTGAGGAAGGGAGTTTCTCTGGACAGTTTACCCTGTGGAGCCTCTTCCACCACTGCCTCCAGTCCCAGAAGGGAAAAAAATGCATCCACTGGCCAGTGGCTTTTTTTGACAGTGGGATTCAGCTGTTTTGCTGTTGAAAATAACTGCCCACATCCACCAGCCTTACCAGGAGATAACCAACCAAATCAGTCAGCAGGAGAATGTGAAGAGTTAGTATCATAGCCTTTGATTAGCTATAACCTAGCAAACATGGTGCCATTTTATTAGCTATAAAAAAACATTATAGGGCTGAAAAATCTACTAGGTGCTAAGTTACTGATGTGACAGGATCTGTTGAGTCCAGGTTTTGAACAGATCCTGCTGTGCTGTGACTCAGCACACTTTCTCCTGGGTTGCATCTCTAAGAGACAATTGGAGAGGAAGAGCCATGCTTGGGTGGTGGTCTGATGACTCGTCCTAGACTGAAGTGCCAGCTGGTGCATGTCTTTTTGGCAGCCACTCAAGCTGTTGTTTGGTTTTGGCAGCCCTTGTAGCCAGAGCATGCTGCTTTCTCAGTAGAGACCGACGAGAGAGATGTTGGTCCAAGGGTGTACTTTGGCACCCTAGAAAATTCTAGCTGTGCTGAGCCTGCTGTGTTGAAAGCTGAGTGTCCATGGTCAGATTCATGTCTGTCTCACTGTGCTTCATGTAGGAGTTTGGAGGAATGCAGCTTCCATCCTGTTTTGAAGTCTTTCTTTTTCATTTTTGCCACTCTGAAGGTATTAACCACCCTGTAAGCTGCTACAGATCAGTAGGGAACAGCTGACTGGAGCCAGAGTTATGCTTATCCACAAAAGATGAGTATCTAGGTTTTCTTGTGAAAGTTGCCTTATTACAAGGTTTCTTTCTCTTAAAAATGCACCTCTTGATCACTCAGCTCTGTGTGGAGATGCAGATGGGTTGCCTATGAAGGGGAATACTGCCAGACAGACAGAAAAAAATCCCTCAACTATTTAAAACCTCTTCATTTTTATAGTTCTTCTCTTTCTCAGCCTTTCCCTGCTTAGGGTGTTTATCCTTTGGGCATTTGCTTTTAGATTGAGTGTTTGGGGTTTTTTTTCTCTTTGTTTTTTGGCTTTTTTTTTACTGAGTTGTCCAATTTGTTTTTCTACCTTCTTCTCTCTGAAAAATATGAAATGCACAACTACTGCTTTTTGAAAATATTTGAGTGCCCATGTGTGAGCTGTCCAGATTTGGACAATAAGACATTTGGACATTCTTCAGACCAGTATTGGTGGTTCTTTTATACTCTGAATCTGTGGGGCAGTGGAAAGACATTCCAGGCGAGTCAGTTCTGGAAGTAGCTTTTCATGGTGCCCACAGAGCCTACAAACCAGTTTACTCAGAAGCCACAGGTATGTGGGGTTTTGTGTGATATTGATAATAGATGTTTTCTTCAATTAGTAAAAATGAATAAGCCCATGTCTTGTGGCTTAGGGTGGAAAGAAGGCAAACCAAGAGTCACAGGGAACTTGGAAACTCCTGGTTTTCAGTGCTCAACTTGCAGTGTCTAGTAGAAGTTCAGTTTCTGAGAGTGTCCAAGTCCTGCAGCTCTGGCAGTCAGGCTCCATTGTAGGGCTTTAGGGTAGGCAGCCAGAACCACTGCCTGCTTCTCCATCCGCTTGCTCCCCGGGGCCAGAAATATTTTAATGGCACTGTGATGGAGGGTGTGAAATGGGTTGGTGCTTTCAATCCCACTTCTAATGGGTATGAAGTTGAAAAAATATTCTTCCCTATTGGCAGTCTTGATAAAATGGGGTATGTAGTGAGTGACAGGGAAGAAAAGCACTTGTCCTCCTGAGAACTTATTCCCGTGGTCACTCTGGCAATACCTTGGTGTGAAGAGCCTGAATTTGGGCTGTGGTTCCTGCTGCTGTGAGTGCCCTGCAGCATGTCTACTACAAGGCAGCTGTTCTAGAATAGTAATTCCTGATTAACTCTTTGTGGGGTTGCTCTTCTCCTGGAGTAAGTGTGTTTTATTCTGAGTATCTTAACCCACTTCCCAGGGGGATTAAGTCATTTCAGAAGAAGGTAGTCATAATCCTTTAGAGAGGGAGTTAATCAAGAATAGAGGTTTCATTTCACATTCATGCCTTACCCTATTCTCAATTAGCTGCATGTGTAGACCAGCCCTAAAACTCAACTAGTTCTCTAGGGTGGCTGCTCGAGCTCTGTCTCATCAGCATCCATCTACATGTTCAGAATGTCAAAACATTACATTCTGAGGTGCAGAAAAATGGCTTTGTGGATAAAGAGCAGAAGTTGAAAGCTGCAGTGTCCTGGCATTTTTTTTTTTGGCTTTTACCACTCTTCTTGTGTGTTTTACAATTTCCTTGCCTCCTCTGTCTGTCAGTTTTCACTCTTACAAAATAAGCATAACACCTTATCTCTTCTCAGCATCCTTCAGGGAGATAGCTTTCCTGAACATCCATGTATTATCACCCAGCCTCCCAGCAGACAGAAAGGGAGAGTGATGTATCCTGATGGATTGTCAGCCTCCAAACTCTGAACCAGCTTTCCTGCCAGTTTGGAGTTAGAAATGAGAATCCAGCTTTCAAAGCTGTCATTGTACCTGGGTGCTTACTGCAGGTGCTGGGCACTTGAGGAAGCTGCTGTCTTTTTTAAACTGGTGTTGCTGAGTACTTGAGAAATAACTTGGTTTATTTCATTTTTTTTAATGCACACACACTTGCTTTTCTACTACAGGTGCATAGATGGGCACTCTGCCCTGGTACCTGGCTCAGTGAAGGAAGAGGGAGGGGAGGAATAGGGAAAGGAGAAGCAAAGAGCCAGGAGAGTTGGCAATACGTGGTCCCAGTGGTCAATCACACAGGGTTTGGTGGTGATCCATGGATCATCTAAACTCGGATATGTATTTCCTCCTGTATATAAGGAGGAAGGAGCAGGAACTTGTTTTCCCAGGTCTTATATTTATTTCATTCCTCACTTGCTTTATTTTGCAGGTGTTTTTCCAGGTCCGATCACCTCGCCCTCCACATGAAGAGACATATCTAAATATCAGTCAGCTTGGCATGGATATCATCTGAGCTAGGTGTTGTGAGATGAAAGTGGAACTCAAGTTACAACGTGCTACCTTGCAGGAGAAGAGAACTTGGTCCCATGTAACCCTCTGTACAGAGACCACAGGCTCCCACTGTCACACACCCCGTTACCCTGCAGTCCGTACAGCGGTCCTTTATGCCTTGCCCCAGCTGGATGGGAGAAGAAGCAGGCGAGGAAGGGATGCAGAGGTGAAGCCAACGAGGAGGAACAGTTGCTTACAGTCCTTCGTCCCTCTTGGATTGGTTTCCTGGTTTTGCCAATGGAATTCAAAGAAAATGGAGGAGGCTTCCCTGCAGGTGGACGGCAGTAGGATGGGCTCATTTAACTTGCTTCTCAGTGCAACTCAGTAGGAGAATATGTCGTCTTGAAGTTGCATACTTGTAGCACTAACTTTCTTTTTAAACAGATGGGGGGAAAACAATGACCTAGAAAACCAAATCCCAGTTTGGTAGCCAAAATTAACCTCTTGGTTCATTTGTTCTTTGTCTGAGAATTCCTAATATTCAGCGCGTCAGACTTCTCACAGACACTTTGACCTGTCTTGGTTTTGGTTCTTCTTCATAGAACTGAGCTATTGAGATCCTTTTAAGTCAATACCAGTGGCCTTAATGGCAGTAGACTGTGGAGTGACACTTGTGACACAGATCTCCTCTTTTTGGCCTGAGTTTATGTAGACTTTGCGGAGGACTATATTTTTGTTGTTTGGTTTTATTTTGATTTTTTGTTTTGGCTATTGCACAACATATGCACTAGGGACTCTGAAAGCTGCTGCCATGATGGCTGAGTGGCCAGGAGATAAACCCCTGAGAAACAGCACCTAATATCTCTGTAGGCCTCACCTTATTGCCATAGCTAGGACTTCTTGTTTATTTGTTGAACAAAAAAAGAAACAAACAAAAGACAAACTTTAAAAGCTTATTTGGAAGCTTAAACATTTTTTCTCTTTTCTCCACGAACAAGTGATCTTCAGAACTCCTTGTCTTCACCTGGATATCAGTCTGGGACTGGCCACACAGGCATGACTACAGGACTCCTTCCACATCATGTGAGCATGTTAGCCACAACCCACAGTGACTTATAGATGAATTATGTTGGTTTTTTTCTTGCTGTTCTTCTATTAACCAATTTAAAACATTAGACTTTTGTTTGTGTAAAGAGCACCTGCAGACATTTTAATTTAAAGCTAATGTTTGTTGAACATCTTACACAGGAAAAAAAGAAAAAAAAGCCAAAAATCCTACTCCAGTCTCTGAGTGGGAAAGCAAGAACCTTTTCCAAGTACAGTGGCTTCATTCAGCATTAGCCTTGTAAAGAAATGATCAAAGTCCTCCTTTTCCATTCATCAAGTTGATACTGTAGCCCACAGGATTTTACATACAGCAGTGAGGCTTTTCCAGATGATTAAAGTATTACTAACCTAGAGGTCCATTTTGGCCTACAGTGTGAACCATCAAGGAGAAATGGAGGTCTCATGCTTACCCTTCAGTCCTAATGATAATTTAATTTTGTTGGCTCAAAGTGGATTAAAGCCTTCATTACAAAAGAAAAAAAAATGTATCTTACCTTGCATTTGAAACTCTTTTGGCACTGGCCCTGACTCCAAAGACTGCATTTAGGACCATAAAAATGGCCTATGCAAGCAGGCAGGTGGTCATTAGGTTGTATATTTTGTATATTCTGGGACCATCCCTACAAAATGTGTCTAGAAATGAAACAAAATGACGCATGGTCCATAAATGGTTGCTGCTCTTTTATACTGTATTAGCCAACTGCCCTTCTTCGACTGTTTTGACTCATTGACTGTTAAATATTTCCCTTAATTTATGTTTTGGGAGGTAAAACTGTACTCCTAGGGGAAAAAAGAACCAACAAGAAACTCGATAGATGTTTAAGAGCCGTCACCGGGATCCTTGGCACTTGAATTCTCTGCATTTGCAACCTTTGGTTCCAGTGAGAGATTGAGTTTACTCAAAAAATGCTGTTTTTCCTCACAGTTTTCACAAAACACTGTGACTGTCAACTGAACACTTTGGGGACAGGGGGGAAATACGATGTCTGGCCCATATGGCATGAAATATGGACCAAAATCTAACCATCTTCTAGGGACAGTGATGTAACCTTCATGATCAGAGCATGAGGGAGAGCAAGAGAGTGAAAGAAAGAAAAGAAAGAGAGAGAGAACAAAAAATCGAGTTTATTCCAAAGATTTAAAACTAACTATATGTGTATATATATATATGCTTATATATATGTATACATTTAAAAATTGTGGAGCACTGCTTGCTGACAATCTCGTATTTCTCTACTTCTGTATTTGCATACTTTTTATGGCCATTCCACCCAGCTGTTCCACTGGGACTGAGGGCCCTAGAATCCAATTTGTGTTGGAATATATAGAGCATCCTGCCAGATGTCTAATGGGGACTGAAACCTCAGCTGTGTGAAGCTGTAGAGGATCCAGTCAGTGCATTACATTAAAAAAAGGGTAAGAAAATGCTAGAATTTCATTACTGTAGTGTCCTAAAGTGTATGCTCTCAAACCCACCACTGTAATATTCATTGGCTGTGGACCTGCATAAATATCCTCCTTTGAGCTGTGAACACACCTGCCTTTAGACATGGTATCAGTAGTCTACAAACCTTAACTATTAAGAGACTGTTCAACTAACAGACTATTTAAAATGGAAAAAATCAAGCAAGGCTGTTTATTTACTTCCACTTGTCATTTATGGACTTGTTGACATCTTATTTAAATATGGCAGAGCAAGAACCCCCTGGAACAAAAAAAGCATGCTGAAATGTCTGACTGTTTTGTTCTAGAGGCAGGCCTACATCTAAATCATGGATCCAGATAGCCTAAAAAACATAGAGGAAAGGGGGATAGGAGACTTAACCAGATTTCAGCTTTCTCAGGTTCTCTCTGTAGCAGGTCTTGAAGTCTAAAGCCAAATTTTGCTCTTTGGGACCATCTCTTCTGTTTGTAAAGGGATATATACTTTTCACCTGTATATATGGTGTACTCAGTCTCTGGACTTCAGTTTTTGGGTGCTCATATGCAAGTGTCTTAGTCATTACTGAAGTTTTAAACCATAGCTGGTGTTTTGTAGGCGTCTCCATTTGGAAAGGCATAGTTAGTGACACATTCCAGGATTCAATTTTTTCAATGACAAGATTTATTTCTTCACAGATATTTTAAGCTGTGCACTTCAAACCTAGCTACTCTGTTACAGCTAGATCCTTGCTGGGCCTTCCTCTCCTTGCTAAGGTTGTGCAGTTGTCCTCTATTTGTAAACTATGAGTAGAAACAGACTCATGATGAAAAGCTAATCTTTTCTGTGAGGCTCCTTGGAAGCAAATAAACAGATGATTTGGTGACAGTTGAGGACTGAGTTATCTAGCTGTAGAAAGGAGAAATTTAACCTTGCTTCCTTCATGCTAGATCTATGCCTGTTGGCAAAAGAGAAGCCATTGTAAAAAAAGTCAGATTGTGGTTTCCAAGCTAATCTTCTGTGTAAGGCTCCTTGGAAGCAAACCCATAAACTGATGATTTGGTGACAGTTGAGGACTGAGTTATCTAGCTGTAGAAAGGAGAAATTTAACCTTGCTTCCTTCATGCTAGATCTATGCCTGTTGGCAAAAGAGAAGCCATTGTAAAAAAAGTCAGATTGTGGTTTCCAAGGCCATGGAACTACAGGGTGAGAACAAACTGAGACAGAAGTCTCACAAAATAGTGTACTTAGAGGAAGCAACTGAAGCAGATGTGAGTTTTTATGAATAGCTAAGTAGTATTTTGGAGCAGAGCAGTCTATCACAGAATCGTGCAGGTGGGAAGGGGCCTCCAGAGGCTGTCTTGGCAAACCTCCAACTAGAGCTGCTTACTCAGGGTCATATCCAGCTGAGTTTTAAATATCCCCAATGATTGGAGATTCTACCATGCCTCTGTGCAAGTTGGTCCAATATTTGACTACCTTTATGGGAAAAATTAAAAAGCCATGTGTCAAGTAGGAATATTCCATGTTCCAACTTGTTTTCATTGCCTCCACCACTGTACACCTCCAAGAAGAGTCTGGCTTCTTCTCTACACCCTCTGTTAGGTACTTGTAGACAGCAATAAGATTGACCCTTACCCTTCTCTTCCTGAGATGGAACCATGCCTCTCAGCCTCATCCATCATGTGTTTCAGAACCTCATCTCCATGGTGGGTCTCTGCTAGACTTGCTCTAATACATCAATGATTTTCTTGCAATGGGGAGACAGAATATTCCAGATCAAGACCTGCTTCATATGTTGCAGTGCTGATATAATTTATCCTGGATTTTTCCATTATCTAATTGAGACAAGGTATATTCCATGACAAGATTCTGTTTTGAAAACAGCTGTGAAAAATTCTTTAGGAAGCACCAGTATCAAGATATTTCTAATGAGATTGCTGCATCTGTGTATAAAAATATGCTTTCTATACTGCTAGCTTGAGGCCAAGCAAAATTCTATTTTTCCAACATAATCATTGCTGGTTTATCTTAAACTAAAAAAAAATTATTGTTTCACTCTTACTGTATCAAATATGAAGACATGTGATGCTGTATTTTAGTCACTTTTTAGATCAAAACAACACTTCAGTCCATCTTTGTTCTGATTGTTTTTCCCTTTAGGAGATAAAGAGCAACCTAAAATATCACATGTGTTTTATAAAGATTGGTCTAAACCAAAAGGGGATTCCAGAGTCCCAGGTATTTTTTATTATCCCAGAGTTGTTCTTTTTCAATTGCTAGTACTCAGTTTAGAAAATTGTATTACATGAGTAGATTGGCAAAAGAAGGGGAGGAAGTGCAGACAAATCCTAGATTCGTTCAGTGTCTTGGGCAAGGCCCTGAGCAGTCTGATCCAACTCATTTTTTTAAGCAGAGGGTTGAATTAGGTGACCTCCAGAGGTACCTTCCAACATCACTTTT